ACATGCAAAAATGCAACTACAATAGGCTCAGTTATTCTAAAGATGGCATATAATGATGCTACAACTAACACGTATTCAATTTGGAATTGAAATACAAATGCAGTTAGTATGATGCGCCGAGCCCAGTGCATGCAATACAGATGAATGAATGCAAACATGCGAGCATAAGTATGCTAATTGAAACATGCCCTAATCTAACCATCATAAGCTAGTAAATAAAAGGGAGAAAGATGTGGGCTTGGAAGACATACATCATACACACGCACACTTATTACAACATTGCCCTCGCTCGGAGGGTCCGAATAAATAATACAGCCCGAATAATAATTACAGTTCGAAAAACCCTAATTAATTAACAATTTAACTAGGAAAGCAAGTAAATTAGCATGCAAGGTTATGGACCGCCTCAGCTCTGTTCCGAATGATGAAAGAGGCATGCTTGAGTTGCCTGGCGCAGAAATCCATTGCGATGCCCCGATTCGCCTCTGTTTGCAATTAATCCCGGAATGCTATGCCAGGCTCTAGAAGGCTGTTGATTTCTGATTTGCTGCAACAGAGAGCAAGAAAGGGGCACAGCAAAGTATTTTCACATATGTATGTAGGACTACTCTTCAGGGAGTGTAGTCCTCGATCCTCGTGCCACCAATCACGCATCTCGATGCATGATGGCCGAGGAGTCGAATTGCACGACTCGATGTGATATGAATGCGCATGAAAACACAGCAAGACCTAAACTCCATCATGGGTAATCCGGAGTGTCGGCGACCGGGAATTGAGACACGTTCCGTCACTTGGAGTACGAAACGTCCCTCGTTTCCCGTGCTTAGGCTAACTCCTATCCCAAACACAATGCAAATGAGAGGGCATACACAATGCGACTAACATACAAACTAGCATACGCAATGCTATGAAATGGCATACACAATGCTCAATGTAACATGGAATACACAATGCTCTAACATGCAACCTAACATACGCAATGCTATGGGCCGAAATGGCATACACAATGTACGATGGACTTACACCAAAATGAGTGGACCTCAGCCACACTCACATCAGTGGCCATTAGGATGGAAATAAGACAACCGAAATACATGCAAACTTGCACGGATACAAAGGACCGACCCTAAGGCATAACATACCACTCTACCAAAGCATGGCAAGGGATGCAATATGGCATAGAATAGCATAAATTACAGCTCTGAAACAGCATGCAATATGGTCCCGAAATATGCAAATATGTCACACAATGCAAGCTAGGGGGCCCGGGTATCGAAACTAGTGAAGTGTGTTACACTAGAGTTACCCAAAGCAATGCAACAAAGGCAAAACCAACCCCAAACAGACCCTAGGCAGGTCTGAAACAGTGGAAAAATGGCCTAAAATGGTGGCTCAACATGCAAGAAAATGGAGCTCATTCAATGGTCCGAAAACAAGGCATTTATGCACAACTCTCAAGCACACTTAAGGAGTACAAAACATGGAAATATGGCACTGATACAAGCTCTGAAATATGATGTATAATGAGCCTAAGACATGAACACACCTCAGCACATGCATGCAATGGACCTCAAATCTCAAAGTTAAGCATGGGTATTGAACTACAAGCATGCAAAACAAACATCATTCAATCATGAGACCCAAAAACAGAGCTAGGGCAGTCCAAAAAAAGCACAATATCAGTTTATGACATGGCCAAAAAGTGCTAAAATCAAGAGCCCACAAAGCATGCAAAGAAAACTAGTGAACCATGAGTTGTTCTACAACTATATGAAGCATATGAAAGCTCATTAAACCAGCCAAAAACAGATGTATGCCATGCCAAAATATGTCTAAATAACCACTGAAACTCAGCCAATGCATGCAAAAAAGATGAGCTCCTTTGGAAGGCCATGCAAGGGGTTACTCTACACCTATATGATGGACACATAAAAGGTCAAAACCACCTCTGAAAATGAATTATGACAACCTTAAAACTCACCAAATAGGCCCTGGAATTGGTCTAGGAAGCATGCAATGAAAGGTCCCTTTGAAAGGCCTTGAATAGGGTTGCTCTACACATGCATCATAGACATAAAATATGGTAAAATAGGCTCTGGACAGAGCTAATGCAGACCATCAAACTCACAAAATAAGTCCTAGAATGTAACTTCACAACATGCAAAATGGAGCTCCTTTGGAAGGCCAATAAAGCTAGTAGAGAGAATGAGGGGTGAGAGGGTCACCCCTCTATGATTTTGGAGCTCAAAGACACATTAAAGCCACTGAAAATCCGCTGGATTTCAATGGCTAAGAGGCCAAAACAAGGCCAATGCAAATGCTCAAATGCATGGCTCAAAGCATGAAGAAATGAAGCATGTAAGGAAGAAGATGACTCCAAACAGAAAAGTGACCTAATAAAAATTAAAGAGGAGGTCAAAACAAGACTTTCTTCAGTTTAGGTCAAAGTCCAAAAATGCTCACAAATAGGGCTAGGATTTGAAGCAAAATAAGCCTTAAAAGAGAGATGGAGCAAACAAGGAGGTAGATGGCCTCAAATAGAAAAGTGTCCTTAAACAAAGTTCAAGACGGGCTCAAAATTAGACACTTTTCAGTTCATGCCAAAGCTCAAAAACGCTTGCAAATGGAGTTAAAGTATAGAGCAAAATAGTGCAAAAAAGGTGTAAATGAAGACTTACCCTTGTAGCACAACAATGCAGCAACTTCTGGACCAAGAAAGCGAACCTTCAACCTCTGAAAATCAGTCCCAAGGTGCTTGAATGGATGGTGGAGGTGGTAGGCTATGAGGTGTAGTGTAAATGGCCAAAAATAAGGGTCTATGGAGCTTAGAATGTAGAGATATGGAGAGATGTATGCAAATGCTCCAGCCAAATGTTTTTCTAACCCTTGTAAATGGAGATGAGGGTTCATTTTTATAGAGGAAGAGAGCCAAGGCTTCTTAAAGAAGCCTCAAGAGAGGGTCAAAGCTTCTCAAAGAAGCATAAGCAAAAGGGTCAAACTTCTTGGAGAAGCTAGAGCAAAAGGTTCAAGCTTCTTGGAGAAGCTAAAACAAAAGGTTCAAGCTTCCTCAAGAAGCTAAAACAAAGGGTTCAAGCTTCCTCAAGAAGCTAAAACAAAAGGTTCAAGCTTCCTCAAGAAGCTAAAACAAAGGTTCAAAAGGTTCAAGCTTCCTCAAGAAGCTAAAATCGAGGGTTCAGCCAAAAAAAATAACCAATCGGCCAACAAAGATGACTGACCGACCATCAATGGTGCCGACCGATCGACCGACCACAACCGACCGACCATCAAATGGTGCCAATCGATCATCAACGGTGCGACCGACCATCAACGGTGCCGATTGATCGTCAACGGTGCGACCGACCGTCCATCAATGGTGTCGACCGACCGACCGTCCATGGCCGGTGGCCTTAAGCTATGGCCCGTGGGTTTAGGGAATGGCAGACAAGCCACTCTCTACCCTCCAAAGCAAAAACCAAGAAGTGTTTGGTCCAACCAAGCACAAAACAAACAAGTTAAGAGATCCTGAGGCAGGGCGCTCGGCCGAGGCCTCCGAAAACTCAAAACGAATGAACATGGATGATTATCGAGTGTTCAAACGATGACGTCCAAGTCTTGAGGATGGTCAAAAATAGGGTGTCTACAAGTGTGTATAAAAATTAAAAATATTAAAACAATTCGTTGAAACCAAAAAAAAATAGGACAAATTACACTAATACACTACAAGAAATGTCACTTTTGGCGACCATTTTTGGCAACTAAAAAAAATTTAGTCGCCAAAAGTTACGGAATTGGCTACCAAAAACAAATTTAGTAGGCAAAAATCAAATTTTTAGCTACTAATTTTTTTTAATCGGGGAATATTGATTATTGACGACTAAAAAAAGTTTAATAGCTAAAAATATTACAATTGGCGACTAAAAAAAAATTTAGTCACCAAAAATGCCAGAAATTGGCGACAAAAAATAAATTTAGTCGTCGTAGGTATAGATTTGGCTACTAAAACCTTTAGTCGGCAAATGTAAAATAAAAAATTAAATTTTATCTTTGGCGACCAAAAGTTTGGTCACCAAAAATTGATTTTCAGCGACGAAAATTAATTTTTCGTCGCCGTAGGTATAGATTTGGCTACTAAAACCTTTAGTCGGCAAATGTAAAATAAAAAATTATTTTTTACCTTTGGCGACCAAAATTTTGGTAGCCAAAAGTTTGTTTTCAGCGACAAAATTTAATTTTAGTCGCCAAAGCAGTAAAATGTTTTAGAGGGAGACCTTTCAAATATTTACAGGGATTTATAAAATACCTTTACCGACCAATATCGATAGTCGCTAATAACCATTTATATAAAACATCTCACGGTCTCACCAAACCAAACCCAACCCTGAACTATTAATAGCGCCTCTCTCTCTCTCTCTCTCTCTCCAGCGTCCTTCTCCCTCTCCCTCTCCCTCACCGCCGCTCCTCTCCCCTCCACTCTCACCGCCGCTCCTCCTCGCGTTGGCCGGCAACCGAAGCACCGATTCACCTCCTTGTTGGTCACCGTCGCCTAAGATCCTCTCTCTCCCTCTCGGCTCTGTTTTTCTATCTCACAAAAACCCATACAACTTCACATACGCACACACACACGGGTTCTTCAAATAGTCATAAGGTATGATTTCTAATGCATAATACTCTATTGGGTCATTCACTTTTTGCTCTAATTCTAGCTTTCCATTGATGGGTTCCATCAATTTTTTTGAAGGAACACTTTGAAGTTGTAAAACAGTTTTTGATTCGGCAAGCTCAAAACCCACAAATTTCACTCCATTCCTGTCGTCTTCGCTGCACAGTCCAATTTCTTGAAAGGTAATTAGCTTTTTCCCCTGAAATTTTCCTTAATTGTTACTTTACAGTGCTTCTGAAATTTGCCCTAATTTTATAGCTTCAGTCAGTTCTTTTGTGGGTTTCTTGAAATTTGATCACCTGTGGATGACATTCATTTCATTTTTATGAAAGAAAGAGAAATGGGGAAATCACAATTTAGTGGTAGTTTCACAAAATAATTACAGATTCATGGAAGTGTTTAAGACTTTAATTATTAATGTTTATAAATTTTCCACTAATCAGATCTTTTTTTTTTAAACGTACTTTGTATTCATATTTTTCGTAGAAAAATTGTGGTTTGTACTTTCATTTAAATGCTGTCATAAAGGACTTAATTGTAGTTTAATAGCGTGCCATGGCTTCAAATTCATAAATATTAATGCATACTGGTAACGTTTTAAAAGGAGATAACAGTCTATGATCAGTGAAAGTAGTTCATAAAGATCACATATTATCCAGGAATGAAGATTAATGTTATGGTATCCCTGAAATAACAATCTATAACCAGTCAAAGTTTGGGGAATAACTTGACTTGAGAATGTCATTGTGTAGTGTTTGCCATATAGAGGGTAAGATGAATTATTGTTAACGTTGGAAGAAAACATTTCCATGTGAAACCCTTGGCAAATAACAAGCTTAAACGTTTTTGCTATTATGATAAACACACGGGATGTATCATTATTTGTGAATTTGATGTGAAATCTACCAGGCATTTATGTATCATTATTTGTTCTGGCCGGTTGTTGAACGAGAAGAGGACATATTGTGGTCACTTTATTTCATTCATTGTAGTTGTTAAACCAATTGGTTGAGAATGTTTCAGTACTTATTGTGGTCACTTATTGACTTTTTTTTTTGTGCAAAGTTTATTTTCTGGTGCTTATTCTCTTCCAATGCAGTTCACCTTTAAACATTTTGATGACTTAACTTTAATTATATGTAGGCATTTAGAAGCAATGAAAAACAAACACAAAAAGGCAAAGACAGAAGAGAATGAGGACTTTCCTGGATGTGAAAAGATCAAATTTCAGGTCGGTACTCTAACTGGGGCAGAGGCATCAATAAGTTTAGTACCGCTGTTGCATTTGAGGAACCAATCACACCGCCTGTTCAAATAGATTATACCCAGCTTCTCATCAATGGACAATTCGTGGATTCAGCATCAGGTGTGTTATCATCCTTTGATTCAAAAAAACTAAGTAGATATTTCGGTTATGATACCTTTTACAATATATTGTAGGCCTTCAAGTTTCTATCTTGATGTTCCTTCAATTCAAGAATGTGTAGTGAAACTGAATTTTTGCAAATTGTATGACTATAGGGAAAAAATTTCCAACCCTGGATCCCAGGACAGGAGATGTGATTGCTCATGTCGCTGAAGGTGAGGCTGAAGATGTCAACCAAGCAGTGTCTGCTGCTCGCAAAGCATTCGACCAAGGACCATGGCCAAAGATGATTGCTTATGTAAGAATATCACACATCGATCATTTGCTTTGTCCTTTCTTTCCTTCTTTATTCTTATTTTTACTTCAAACAATTTTGAAATATGAGTTACGTAATGTAATCTTTGTTGTTAAACTTTTCAGGAAAGATCACGAATAATGTTGCGGTTTGCTGATTTGCTTGAGAAGCACAGTGATCATATTGCGGCTCTTGAAACTTGGGATAATGGGAAGCCTTATGAACAGGCTGCAAATGAAGAAATACCATTGGTGTGGTAAATATAAGCTAATTTGGCATGGTAGAAATAAACATATATGCTAATTTAGGTTGTGGTACATATGTCCTTTTTGTTAATTAATTTGGTTAGTCCTGTATTATGTATGAAATGAAATTATTGACGTTGGATTAGACTTGGTTCGTATGGAATTTGTATTATATAGAATTAGACGTTCAATATTAATGTTTTGGATGGTTGGAGCTAAAATGTGTGCACATTGTTGAATGCTTGATAACATATTTAGTGTTGATGGATTATATTGTTTATACAGGGTACAGGTTGTATTCATAATGGATACATGTTGTTTAGAATTTTTTTTAAAAAAAAAAAAAACACGTTAAAGCATTTGGCTACCAAATATTTTGGTAGCCAAATACGTAATCAAATGTTTTGGTGACTAATAATTTAGTAGCAAAACATAACCCAAAAAGTTTTGGCGACCAAATAATTAGTAGCTAAAACAATTGAGAATGAGAGAAAGAAACTATTTGCCACTAAATTTTTAGTCACGGAATGCACCTTTTGCCGACTAAATAATGTTTTGTAGCCAAATGTGTACTTTCAGCGACTAATTATTTAGTAGTTAAAGGTGACACCTTCTCCGACCACAACAACTTAGTAGCCAAAAAGCCTCATTCGACGACTAAAGTTTTAGTGGCGGAAACATAACATTTGCCGACTAAACATAATTTAGTAGCGAAATGTAGTCACTTTCGGCGACCAAACAAAGTTTAGTCGCCAATACTATTGCCGACAGGGTATAGGCGACGAATTTGGCGACAAAATATTTTAGTCGCTAAATCGTTTCAGCAACTAAATATTGGACTTTTGGCGACTAATTTTTTAGTAGCCAAAAGTGACATTTTTTGTAGTGATAGTCCCTATAGTTTGGGGCTTGTGTCACTTTAATCTCTGACTTTTCAATTGTGATGCATTTGATCCTGAAGTTTGAATCTTGTTCTAAATAAGGACAATTGAACATACCATTACTTAATTTCAAGGACAAAATCATTAATTTGATAAAATATAAACTAATTTGACAAAAATAAATGTCAAAAAAATATTTAAAAATTATTTTTACCTACCAAAAATAAAATTATGTAAAATTGATAAAAGATTAATAAAAATTACATGATTAATTTTTAAAAATTAATTTTACATGATCATCATCCAAATACATAATAAAAATTAATTTGGTAAAAAAAAAATAAATGTTTAAAAGATTTATCAATTTTATATAATTTTATTTTTAGTAGCTAGAAATAATTTTTAAAAATTCAAAAATAATTTTTTGACTTTTATTTTTGTCAAATTAATATATATTTTATTAAATTGGTGATTTTGCCCTTGAAAAATCCAATAGTATCTACAATTGTTCTTATTTGGAATAAGATTCAAAATTCAGGATTAAATGTGTTACAATTGAAAAGTCAGGGATCAAAATGACACAAGTCCCAAATTATAGGGACCATTAGTTTAATTTACCCAAAAAAATATGAAAAATAAAAAAATAATTTTTTTTAAAATTTATTTTCTAAAAACCAAATCCAAACAAGCTGAATGTTTTTCATGTCCTCCAAAAAATTAAAAAAAATCCTCCGCATATATTATTGCTAGGATGTAGCGAAGGTACGTCATAATTTTAAAGAAGACAATCAGTAACTGTTAGGTGAGATTTACGAGTATGCTTCCGTTTGGGAAGTGGGTTGGCTTTTTGACTTTTTGGTTATTTTAGCCTTGGGCCAAAAAGCCTAGTTTGGGAAGAGTTTTTTGACTTTTTAACTTTTTTGACTTTTTTTGTGAGAGATGAGTGTAATGATTATGGGTTGGATTTGATATTTTGTTTTTTGTGACTAAAATAACCTATTTTGTTTTTTGTGGCTATTTTAGCCCCTAACCCACCAAAACCAACTTCCCAAACCGTTTATGTCTAACAATTTCAAACAACAACCAATTAAAAAATATATTTTTTCTGATTGACAAAAAAATATTAATTGCTTGTTTTCATTTTTCAGAAAACACTTTTCAGAAAATTTTACTTTCTTATTTTTCGTATTTTTTTATTTTTACTGATTTTTTTTTAATATTTTAAACAATTTTTTTACTTTTTAGATACACCTAATATAAATACACCTAAAAAGTAAAAAAATTATAAAAAAAATCTTTTAAAAATTCACTAAATATCAAAAATACAATAATTCAGTAGATTTTTTGTATTTCTATGTATTTATTAATTTTTTTAAATATTTTTTCACAAATTTTTTACTTTTTAGATACATCTAACTAAGGTGCATCTAAAAAAGTTTAAAAAATGTTTAAAATTTAAAAATTATTCACTAAAAACAAAAGAATACGAAAATCAAAAAATTCAATTTTTAAAAAATTTAATCCAAAAAATTCAAGCCAACACACTGAATAAAACATTACCTTGGACAGAACAGTTTGTCAGAAGCCAACTGACAAGAGAAAAAAAAAACACTCAAAACACTAACATCGACTTAAATCACTGGGACCAAACCCAAACAACCAGCAGCCAATCAATTTTTTAGTTGACCCACATTGAGAAAATACTAACAAATTTGGTATACATCACACATCACTCTAAAATATTATTCAAAATCATCACAAACACAATCTATTACAGATCTTTCTCTTAGAATGTCTTACTCATTTATGAATGAGACAGTGTAGTTTGATATGAACTCATAGTGTGAAATTCAACCACAGTATTCAAGTCCAAGTTAAACACTTCAGCCCACAATTGATCAGATACACTTCTTTTTTACTTTCAATGGCTTCCACAATCTTCTCTACCATATTAATGCTTGAACCATCTTGAATAAAGAAGTTCACTTCTCAACATCCATAATTGCTCAATACTATAAGCTTGCACTCACTGTGTTTCGGATTGGCTAAAAAACCCCTAATTGTTGTGAGTATTGCTTTGACACATAGATAATCGAAGGTAAAATTCGAGGAATCCTACACGTATATAGGAGAGAAACAGTCCTACATGTATATAGGAGAGAAACAGTGTTCCTGGTCCATGTATAACAATTTTCATTTTGCTGAGATAGTAGCATTTTTCTGTGAAAACTGCAAACAGCAGTGCCGTCTGGGATTTGGGGACCATTTTATTACAGTCTATTAGTAGTGCATGTACCTAAAAATAAATCACAACTTTTTCAAACTTTCTCCTGAGGCCACCATTTTTCTAGCTTATCTTACATACATACAATACAGAGAGAAGTAAATATTGGGTATATTGGTGATACCAGAGAGAGCAGGGAGGGGTAGATTTTCTTTAATTCACATTACTTTGTGTATGATTTGGCATATATCTGTCAGTGTATATATACATGCACGATTGGCATACACATGGAAAGAGAAAGGAGAAAACAGTAGGTGATTTCATGCGAAAGTAAAACAGAAATGGTAGTTTGGTGGGTTTTTTTCTTTCTTTTATTTCACTGCTTGTGTCTGTCCTGAAACCTAAAAATGGACTTGTTCCACAAAGTTGAAGTAGCATGTTTTAGGGTTTGTTGTTTAGGGTTCTATTTCCTAGGGTTTCTTTCTTAGAGGTGCTAGGGATAAATACAGCATTATGGATCTACTTGTGCAATCAACTATACAGCTTCAAAGTACAACTCCAAGCAGCTGCAGCCTCAACCCTTCCCCCAAAGATTTCTCATTTTGGATTGGATTATTTTTTAGGTAAGTGATAATTTAGAGAACAACTCTCTCTCTCTCTCTCTCTCACACACACACACACACACATATACACACACAACGAAAATAGATCTTAGGGGTTTCCTTCTGCTCTCAAGCTAACCATTTTTCATCTTCTTTTTCTTAGATTGAGAGTGTCTTAATTAAACCAGTAAAGTCATCTTTTTCATTCGTTACACGATACCGGTGGATTTAAAGCTATAGAATTTGTAACAATGGTCCTCATCATTTTTTCCTGATCTGTGAAAGACTTTCCTTTTCTTGTATGAACAATTAAGGTAAGTAGCCACTTTATGGAGTTTCTGCTTGATAGAGAACAACTTAACGCTATGTTTTGTTGGGAAATTTGGGGAAGGATTTAGAAAGAGAAACGGAAAAGGAAAGGGAAAGGGAAAGGGAAAGTGAAAAAGTGTGCGAAATTAAGTAAAATATAGGCATATTTTATTCACATTTTGCCTATTTTTTTCTTCTTTTTTTTTCCAAATTCTTTTCCAAATTGTCTAACCAAACACAACTTAAGAGAACTGGTGATGAACTTTTTTATTTGTCAGTAATAAAATATGCTACAGTTTAGCTGTTATCGAATTTATCAGCCTCTTATTAATTATAGTTAAAAATTAAGTGTCTTTTTTTTGTTCTTTTTTTTTTTTTTTTTTTAAGGTGAAACTCCCCCAAGGCACCCTTCAGAATTTGGAATACTCCCACAAGCTGCTGGTATTGATTAAGCTCTTGATAGACACCAGTGAAAGAAAGACGAATAAAAAATGTTTGAGTTTATGACTCGTCTTTGACTACCCTTGTGGCTTAAAAATTATAGTATTACCCTCAGTGAGTTACATTTCAGAGTAAAGAACAAATTGCACATGATTCACATATGAAAAAATTTTCTTGTCTTTTTTTTACAAGGAGTAAGAGAAAACAAATGAAGGGAAAGTAACGTAGCAATAAGACTCGACCATAGACGTTTCATCCACCAAACCAATCACATTGGTCAACACTTTAGGGCTTCAATAGTGGCTATAAGAGTTTGATATTAAGCTAACTATTTCATCTTGCAAACTAAAGAAGATTGGTATAAGAAAGTTGAGAACAAGTGGTTAAATCATATGGCCTAACTGAGATAAGAAAGTCCAAATTGGCTGTTGCGTATCTTACTTCTGCTGCTGCTGCTGCTGCTGCGGCCTACTTGTGGTCCTCTCTGAGTAAGTACTAAGTGGATGGATGCATGCTTTTAGGAACCTATGTTGGTCCCTCCTCTAATACCACAGACCACATGCTGGAACTTATCTCTTTGATTTTTTCTTTATTTTAAATCATTAAATACTAATAAGGCAAATTATGAACCAACTAAGCCTAGTTGGGCACCATACTTTCCTTAGAATTTAGTCTCAAGGAGGTTTCAATTCGGAGGTTGAATTAAGGGAGTGCAAGCACGTAGGCCATTTGCTAAGGGTGGAGAGATTTTCTTCCATAGTTGTTAATCTAACAACTAACAACTAACATTTGCTGATAAAAAAAAAAGGGACAAATTATGTGGTGCAAATGAACCCTTAAAAATTACTACTCAATGTGCTTGAGTTCCGACCAGATTTTAAATATCGTGAGTCACAACCTGGTTCATTATCAATACAATCAGTTTCAATCGACATAATTGGTTCGTCTATTATAAATCTCTTTCTTTTCATTGATACCATATCTGTCAATATTTTTGATATATTGCTATATTGATATCGCTATTTAAATCATGCTTCTAAATAGTATGCAATTTGTTAATTACAAAAATAAAAATAAAAAAGATCATTTAATAAAAAGCAATATGGGTTATTTAGTACTAGAGAGAAAAAATGAAAGGATACTGTTCAAAAAAGGGTTCAGCATCAATCTTCCTTTTTGTGGAGCTAGGGTTAGGGATGCTCTCTTCAATCCATGCTATGCCACATTTATTGATAAAGCTATTTCAAAATGTCAACAAAGCATTAACCTCTCCTTTTGTATTCTGTTGGATGGTCCCATTATTGAATGCTTACCTCACTTATGTACTACTTAATAATATGAATGTCATTGAATTACCAAAATGTAAATCTAACCAATCAAATTGACAAAGGTGCCACGTGGCAGAAAATATGCCACATCTTTATCTTTTTCTTTGCCCCTAAGATTCTTGCATATTTTCTTTCCCGAAATTCTGACTTATTTTGATAAGTTTATTCTCTGCAAAGGAAGTAGCTAGACTGTGGCATCCAATTGTTTACACAGCTCATCTGGAATTAAGAGCGTACTTTAAAAGACTTTGTTGATGTCATAGATGCTAGTTCATCCTCTTCTTCATCCTCCTCATTTGTAAATGTTCTTTACCATGAAGAATTAAATCGATGAGCTGCGAAATGCATGAAATTTCCACCCAATGTAAGTTCATCTCTCATGATCTTTATATATATATATAAATAAATCTGTTCTTAAAATCAACTTCTCTAGAACTTGGGTTATTTTGGTAACTATTTTTATGTTCAATTGGTGTGGTTTCAACTAGTTTTGCTCCAAAAGCCATAAAATTGACCTAATTGTTTCTTCAGCTTCTTTACACAAAATTCCTGAACAACAATTGTTACTTTGGATTCAATAAGTCGCACACAATTCCCCTTGAAAACTTGACTGAATTCTCATCTCTTTTGATCAGTTATTTGCATGATAAACATTTGAAAAAACTAATGAATTTAAGCGATAACCTACCTAAGTTAAGAGACCATCATATGCTGCTATGATTGAGTTAGAAAATATTTGTGTGGATTTTATTTTGAATTTTTTTTATTGCAGAAGTCTTTCCAAGAATTACAAAACAGATTGTTGCAATTCCAGAGATAGATATCAAAGATTATGTATCTATTGACTGATTGAAAAATTTCTAGGTTAAGTTGTTTCCTTGCAGCTCAATGTCTAGAGAAGATGATAACAAGTTCAAGAGAAAAAGATTTTCAAGCAAAGGGAGAAGGTGAAAATAACAATACCAGCAACATCAAACTCAGTACTAAGGCACCATCCAGTTCAAGACAGTGGTCAGCATTCAAAAATCCAAGAATTGTACGCGTGTCACGTTCTTTTGGAGGAAAAGATAGGCATAGCAAGGTTTACACCATAAGGGGATTAAGAGATCGGCGAATTAGGCTTTCGGTTCCCACTGCAATTCAATTATATGATCTTCAAGACAAACTTGGTCTTAGTCAACCTAGCAAGGTTGTAGATTGGTTGTTAGATGCCACAAAACATGACATTGACAAGCTTCCACCACTTCAAATGCCCCTGGGAAATTTCACATTCCATCAACCGACAGCAACCCTAGTTTCTCATGACTTGAGTACCCTTCAATCTTCTTTCTCTCCTTTCTTCAATGCAAATTCAGCGTACTTCAAGGATGGGAATAAGATCAATTACAATGTTGGGAATGAACAAATGATGGGAAAATCAAAAGATTGGGGATCAGATGCAACCATGGGAGCAAAGCTAAAGGGAGTTGAAAGAGAGACAATTGGTGAGAAAATCAAGTGGATGAGAACAAACGAAGAAGAAAGTCAAGATGGGAATGGAGGTAATTACAATCCACAAGTTTCGGCCCATGACTTCTTTCCAATAGCTAGTCATTCTTCTTTTTCGAACATGCTAAGCAATACAATGCCATACAGCAACTACTATCATTGGGACCCTTCAAATTTGTCTTTGTCTCAATTTGGAAGCCATGGATTTGCATCCCAAACCGAAGGTTCTAATAATACTGGTCATTTGGCTTCGCTGCCATCTTCATTTCTCTCTCCACCATCAAATTTCCCTCCATACCATCCATATATTTCTGCTCCAACTGAGAATGACACTAGGCAAATCAACCATTTTCTACCAAATCTCCCCATGCCATCTCTTCATCCAATTAGCTCGCCAGTGGGCGTGAGCACTACTTCCAAAAATTTTCATCTTCATTCGCAGAATGATGAAAGGCAACCGAATAAAGGCAGCACTGGTTCTTGAAGCATATATATATATATTGAAAGTGAATTCATCTCGATGCCTCGGAGTTCAGTGGATAAATTTGCTGCTCCACAGATAATTCTTCAATACAGTAAGGCACTCTTTCTTGTATGAACATGTCAATGTATGTTGCATTTGAAGCATATATATAAATAGAAAGTTTGTAATTGATATGTAGTGTTATAAACTTCTATATGATATTGCATGCCTATTCTGGTTTACGTTTCATTTTCTTGTAGTAATAGAATTTAATTTAGAGAAAATCACTCAACAGTGGGACGGAACAAAGAAAATTTACACAAACATGGTAAGTGCAATTCATCTTGTGATGAGGTACAACTCAAACTCTGTAGCCCTCTATTTTTGTGTATATTTTTTTCATGTCCCACTTTTGAGCGATTTCCCCTTTAATATATAGGTCTGCCATAAAATTGTAGGTGGCTAAAAGTTTATTTCATTAATTGACATTATAATCTGCATTTGTTCTATTTTTAGTCCAGCATGTCTTACTGAAGCTTGTCCAATCTTGGTTCCAATTTTCTTGAACAATGATTATCTCCGAGAGTCTGCAATGTTCTGCAGTCATCACCGCCATTATTTCTACTATTTTAAAGATGAAACAAAAAGGATCCAAAGAATAACTTCACTAGGGAATGCAAAAGTTTTCTAAGGCTCTCTTAATCATGGAAAAAGAAGCAGAAAAAAATAGCAAGAGGGTGAATAGTTTAAAGAGGGAAAGGGAAAAAAAAACAGAAAGTCTATGCTGCCACAAAAACAAAGCTCCAAAAGTATATATATATAGAGAGAGAGTCCTTGCAAAAAGTAATATAGGGCAATCCATACCACAAGTATGCTTTACTTCCAAGTAATTATATAGACTTTACTAAGTTGATATCTTGTTAAACATATCTCAACCCTTGTTACAATTTAACACATCAGCCATGAAACAAGACACCATGTAACTCCAAAGAGTTAGTAAAACGGTAAAAATTTGAGAATAAGATCTAAGTTCTCGAGTTCAAGCCTTCCAAAGGGCCATTGGAAGTCTACCCGATTCTTATCTTTAAGATCTCTAGGGATTAATTCTTAACTGTCCAGATACGAGGTAACTCAAGTCTAAACGGATTAGATTGGGCAGCAGATATCTGAATTAAAAAAAATATGGACACAGTGTCTATACATTATTATAGCAATATCACTAATTACTAGGGATAAATTAGGCTAGATTGGGCGGAAGATACCCTAGATAATCCCTCCCCATCCAATAATAAACTAAACTAAACACTACGTCTATATATCATTACAGAAACATCACCAGCTAGTAGGGATAATTTAGCTAAACTGAAACGAGTATAACGAGTCCTCATAACCTTAATTGCTTGATCGTGGAATGAACTCAATCTAAAGAAATTTTAGTATTATTTGCTAAAAAATATTCATGAAATGTAAACTTAATTGCTTTTTTTTTTTTCTTTTTTTTTTCTTTTTTTTTTTCAGAGGGTGTAAACTTAATTGCTATTATAGTTTCTTAGTCCATTTTTCTCCTCCCAAGTCAAAAGATAGTAGGCAGTGTAGGTCCAACTTTATTTGTTATAGTAGGCAGTGTAGGTCCAACTTTGATTTGTTTTCCTCCAGTGTTTCAAAGTAAAATGATTTATATCACAAACATAACTGCACACTGGTGTAATTTAGCCTAATTTCTAACTTCCAAGATCTTACTATAATTAAAGTCTTGATGATGAGTGTAAACATGCATCATGTTATAATTAAAAAATTTGGTCATTCTTGAAATTGTGAACACTGAATTTCTGTCAAAATGGTCATAGGGGGTAATTCTGTTCAAACTCTATTGCCTTAAAATTTGATTCAACCTTGAAAAATCTAAAACCAACAAGTATGACGTCTTTAGTATTAGTATAGATTTCCAGCTACTGAGGTAATACTAATTATGAGAGGACAAATTGGTAATACTAAAGAAGAATGTTTACCACTTACAAAAAAATAAAGAAAAAGAAAAAAGATATACAGCAAAACTTGGGACATAGACACAGTTAAAAGGCCACTAGCTCACAGACGAGGTGACCCTATTTTAGAGAAAAAAATTTAGAGACAAAATTATATTTTAGAGACAATATTTTTATTGCTAAAAGTGTTTTTATTATATTTTTACAACGAAATTAGACATTTAGTGATGAATTATTATCCTTTTGACACCAAAATTTGTCTCAAAAAATAAACTTTTTTGGGACTAAATTATTTTGTCCATAAAAGTGAATTTATTAGTGACATTTTCAAAATTGTCACTAAAAGTCATCTTTGTACTTTTCGGGATAATCGTTTAGTGATTATTCTCGCAACGACAGTAATTGGTTTCTAAATATTTTTTGTAACAAAATTTTCACTTTTGAGAAAAAAAAAATAATTATATGTTGTAGTGTAACTCAAAAACTTAGTCAGCGTACTACATGTTGAAGTGATCTTGGCAAAAAATGAACTTGAATGTATATCTATTGTCGTGTACTGGATCTTCATCAATAAAATTCTTTTTTTACTGATAAAAAAATGATCTTGTATTTAATGGGAGATTAGTCATCCATGACTGGTCTGCTACTATTTGTTTCTCTTTTTCTTTTTTTTTAATGGCAAAATGTAATATTTATAAAATATTGCAAGACAAAAATGAAAACATAAATAGGTTTTCCATTAGGAAGGAGTTTACTCCCACTTCGATAACATGGGCACTTAAAAAACTGGTTAACAAGTAAGCAAGAATTCAACAAGCAACTAATGGGTTAAGTTGAGAATTAGCTTCTGGGTGAAAGCTCATGCTTCATGACTGCCCATTCTGATCTGATATAATGAAGTTTAGGTGAAAATTTCTGGGTGTGCTAGGTTTGTTTGGGTTGGTTTTTTGTTTTCTTGGCTGGCTCCTCGCCAATCTTGCGGTGCTTGCATATGATTGAGTGTTCAAGCCGGTGCCAACGTTGTTGGGATGGGCTTGTAATGCTATGATACTTGTTGCACTTATCTTTTCTTGCTATTTGGTGTAACCTCATTGGCCTTCTTTCTTTCATTAATAAAAGTTCATTTTGCTGATCCAAAATAGAAAAAACAAGCAACTAATACAACTCCCAAGGACTTATACTACAACATCCAAATGGCCTTTTGGCGCTAACCTAATTTCAATTTGCTTTTTTTTTAAGTCAGTGAAAAAATTTTATTGTACGAAACACTTAAAAAAAAAAAAATGTCCAATTAGTACACATTAATGTGTGTTTGAGAGGGGAAAGGTTGAGTACACGAAACACTAATACAATCGAGCAAGGATCGTCTAGAGTTTTTTTTTCCTAAAGTTTCATAGAGTGGTGCATTGTGTGGTTGATATTTAATGACAAGTCACATCAATTTTTCAATATTAAATCTCAACCACACAATACACCACTCTAGGAAACTTTAAGAAAAAAATACTCTAGAGGATCCTTGGTGAATACAATCATCAATAAAAATTCAATGTATGAAATACTTTGATACTCTTTGCACTTACCTTCTTTATTGATGTATATCATTTGTCTTGTATTCTGATTTGAATTAATAAAGTTTTTTTTGCTAATAAAAAAAAAATTAATAAAAGGTAAGTGCAACAAGTATTATAGCAAAACTTTCCTATCCTAATTAAGTTGGTACACAAAAACTACCCAAATCACGTGCTAGCACAAGACCAGAGGTTGGAGAGGCACTTTTTCTTTTTTTGATCGGCATTGGGGAGGTACTTCAATACACATTCAGATTCGATCACTCAAAATGCATTCAAATTCTCCAAAACATTTCCATTCTTTGCACTTCTTTCTGTATTAAACAAATTTTATTTGCTGATAAAAGAAAAAAAAAAATTAGACTCAGGGTAGCATTTTGGGTCAAAGTTAGATCATGCTAATATCACAGTATATTGGGGTTTATGTTTATTGTTTTGTTAACATTATATACAGTGCACTAATTGAGAACTGAATGAACCCTAATGTTTCGGAGTCCTAAGAGACCATGCATGTAAATCAATCAGCCGCACCCAAAAAAAAAAAAAAAAAAAAAAGTTAGTTCATAACTTCTCTGAGAAAGCTGATAAAAAAAATAAAAAATAAAATAAAAAAAATTCTGGATTGAAAGGAAAGAAGATGAAACTGGATGGCAGCAGGTGTATAACACCGCCGAAATCGCCGGAATCATCAAAATCGCACCGAACCGCACCGCCAAGGCAAATTCGTTATTATTTGCCAATCGAACCGCCGGTTTTTTGTAAGAAAAATGACAAATTCTAGTGACACTTTTATCAATCCGCCGGTTTCTATTTTTCTTCCAAACCGCACCGACCCGCACCGCTATTAAACCATGTTTTATAAGATTTTAAAAATTCTTTTTTACTTAATTGCTTGTTGTTCTGTACCTTAGAATATAGTATTACATTACTGCTCGAGGGGAATTCAAGATGTCAGTAATCCAAAATAAAGTTGGATTCCAATTCACTTTTCAATCTTTTTTTTTTCTGGCCATGTTGCAAACTTGCATCAGTTCACTTTTCAATCTAAATACTTTTTAACAGTAAACATTTTCAATATATTGTAAACCCTGAATGATATTAATTTTATGTATTGTATTTGATCATTGTAGCTTCCACAGAAGCTTGTAATGAACTGATGGCATAGTCGTTGATATTATCATGTTGTTGCTACAATTGCTGCATCAGAAGAAAGTTTCGCAAGATGCTTAACGTCACGATATCTCTCGTCTTTTTTTTACTCTTTGATTTAAATTTTGTAATTTGAATTATATTTTTTATAAACCGTCAATCCGTCCGAACCGCCAATACAAATCCGCCATTATTTGCCAACCGAACCGTTGGTTTTTGATAAGAAAAATGGCAAATTCTAATGACACTTTTATCAATCCGCCACCCATCATACGGTTTCTATTTTTCTCTCAAACCGCACCGACCCACACCGCGCACACCCTAAGCAGCAGTATAAACATGCCACAAGATCCAAGAAAAATTAAGGGACACATGGGGTATATAAAGAAAGTTGGGGCTAAAGTGCCCTCTTTTTTTCTTTTTCTTTTTAATTGTTTACATGGTGTTTTAAACTAAACACGTTTTAGAGATAAAATTTGTTGATTGGTCATCCTTATTATATAGTTAAGAGACAAATAATGTTTAAATAATACCACATAATACTCTG